GTGTGCTGCTTTCCCTGGTTCCTGGCCCTGCAGCTGAAGCCAGGATGGCATCGAAGTCCCCTAGCACGGCCTTCAGGCAGGACTCTGCACACAGGAGGTGCTCACGTGTAGCCCCGCTGACTCACCTAGCCCTGTCTCCTCCTGTTCTGCCCTCAGCCCAGCCATACCACGCCGACACCTCCGGTTTCCTACCAGCAGCACCGTCACACACTGAGGAGTAGGTGCTTGCCACGAGACCCGCCACTGTGCTGGTGAGGACTTGGTTCTTGTGGGCACGTAGCCAGGAGGTGGGCAGCACGGCCATTCTATCTTACTGTTCGATGACGTTGTTAAATTCTGCTGAGCCGCGTAGGTTGATGAAAACGGCAGCACCCCATGCCCTGTACTTGAATTGTATGCGTACGTTTTTAAAGCAGTTTACACCCACTGTCTCAGCTGATCTTCGAAACACTCGGGGTCCGCAGTGACTTGCCCCAGGACATTCAGACACCATGGGGCTGAGCTGGGACCCACAACCAACCCACCGAACACGGCGTCCAGCATCCCTTTAGCTCCAAAGGCCTTACCTTGCAGAACTGGCAAGGAGGGAGCGGGGTGACAGGACCTAAAGGTGTCTGACTGGCCACAGTAAGGCCGAGACCCCAGGTGAATAAACAGAAGGCTCACTGCACGTAAGCTTGTGCATGTCCAGGCCCTTGGGGGCCCGGCTGAGAGCCAGCAGCTCTCGGTACCTTCAGCTCCGAGCACACAGTGGCTCTGCAGTAGTGAACGAAGTCCAGCACGGCCACCGCCCCCACGCCCAGGCTCAGCAGCACACTGAGGTCGTCCACCAGCAGCACCGGGCACCTCCACGCGGCCGCTCCACTGTCCACGGGCTTCAGGGCCTCCTGAACAAACTCATACAATGGCTGCAGGTTCCCGGCGTTGGCCTCCCTGGAGACAAAGCCAACAGAGTTCACTCTGCAAACTTCATCTGAACCAAGCTGCACCACGGGCAAGGGCTGGGGGAGCCAAAGAACGGAATCGGCTCTCGGCATCCAGGGACACAGTCCGGCTGGGAAGAGAAGGCGTGCACATGCATTCACCCTTACTCCTGTTCAGATACTGAGGCCTACAGAGTACTGTGCTAGAAATGCGGACACAAGGTAAACAGCCCTCGGGCTCCTTAAGAGCCACCATAGAGCCTCTCAGCTCAGGAGTGTAGGTGTCCAGAGGGTAACGTGGAGTGGGCAGGCAAAAGAAGCCTCCCTAGTCTGGCTGCGGCCTGGTGGCTAAGGGAGTCGATCTCACATGGCCAACTGCACGGTTCAAATCTCAGCCCCGGTGACTTGACAAGCATGTCAGACACGTGTGCACGTATACCCAAAATCCTGCCAGGATGGAGAAACACAGAAGAAAGGGTTGGGGCGTGACCACTCCCCATTGGCAGGGGCCTTCTCCCTCTCCTCTGTTTCTCTCTGATGGGCACAGACACTCTGGCAAAAATAATGAGTGAGAGAAGTCTGAGCCATCAGGTGGTACAGAGGTTATGGCAGCCGGATTATGGATTTCATAAGGCCGACTAAGCAGTTTGAGTCTCAGACCCGGTGGCCTGAAAACCACGACAGGCGCATGTGTGTGTGCCCCACGTCCCAGGAGGAGAACAGAAGACAGGATTGCAGCATGGCCAACACCCTGGGGGGGTTTCTCACTTCGTCCCTCTCTCTTTCTCTGTCTCTCATGTGCCCCATAGCAAACTGAAAACTAAATAAAGTAAAAGGAGTCTTCCGGGTCAGTCGTGGGTGGCTATAAAAGTTATATAGACAGCAGGGCCACCAGGTAGTGTGGGTGGTTAAGGCACCGGACTCCCACATGGCTGACCACGGTTTGCATCCTGGATCTAGCAGCTTGCTCGCTCGCTCGCTCGCTCTCTGGTCAAATTTGACAAAACAAAGACACTAATAAACTAATAATGACAAATAAAGTTAACCAAAATTATTCTTTAAAAATAAAAAAGCTGAACAGTAATCCAGCCGCCCCGGCGACGAGGACAGAGGTGTGAGGGCCGCCCGCATATGTAGCAGAGCTGACCTGGCCCAGGCCTCCCACCTGTCTTCCCCAGTGACTCCCCGGAGCAGCTGCTTCCCCGCAGTGTGTGAGGACCGGAGCGTAGGGTCCGTCCAAGCACTGGGTTATCTTTACTCACAGCTGCCCACCCCTGAGGACCGGGTGAAACCAGCACCTGTGTTCAGATGAAGAAACGAAGGTCAGAGGTACTAAGGTCACACACACAAGGTCAGGGGACCCCTCCTGGCCACTGTGTGGGGCTGGTCTGAGCAAGGGTTCGGTGGGTAGAGGTGCTGTTGGTGTTCCTCTGTGGCAGGGCTTGAGAAACAGCTGCGAGAGGGGAGTCTGCACAGAACCTCCATGGCTGATGTTCAGAAAGAATGAGAAGCAGGAAGCCAACCTTGGCCCTGGGATGCTGAAGACCAAACAAGGGGCCACACATTTCTCTTAAAGGGCGAGATAGCAACTTCAAAAGTTCATAGAAAATGTCTTATGAAAAATCTGTATGGATTTCAATTTTTTGCACCAAAAAAAATTTTTTTTTTTTTTTTTTTTTTTTTTTTTTGCTATATGGTGTATGCATTCACTGGAGAAAGAAAAAAAGAAAGGGAAAGATCACCCACGGGACCAGAGGGTGGCATGGTGGTTAAGGCACTGGACTCCCACATGACTGACCACAGTTTGAGTCCTGGACCTGGCAGCTTGCTTTCTCTCTCTCTCGCTGGCAGTTTACTTTCTCACTTTTTCTCTCTCTCTCTCTCTCTCGTCAAGTTAAAATAATAATAAAAGGGACCAGCAAATGGCGTAATGGTTACATTGCAAGACTCCCACATGTCTGACAGTCCCGTATCCGGTGGCTTGAAACTTATGTGCATGCGTGCTCGGAATCTGAAGAGGAGAATGGAGGAGAAGGGATTGAGGCGTGGCCATCCCCCATGGAGGGATGATTTTGTTCTCTCTCTCTCTCGTTTCTCCGGCAAATATATGCACCATATGGCAAAAATTTCTAAAGAAATTTAAAAATAACAATAAATGGGGCCATCAGGTGGCGTGATGGTTAAGGGTGCTGGACTCCCATACGGCCAGCCAGGGTTTGAATCCCAGACCTGGTGGCTTGCTTTCTCACTTTCCCTCTCTCTCTCTCTCTTGCTCGTTCATTCACTCTGTTCTTCTCTGGTCAAATTAAAATAAATAAATAGGGGCTAGCAGGTGGTATGGTGGTTAATGGCACTGGACTCCCACATGGCCAACCATGGTTCAAATCTTGGAACGGGCAGCTTGCTTTCTCAGTTTCCCCCTCTCTTTCACTCTGCTCTTCTATGGTCAAATTAAAATCAATAAAGATAAAAATAAAATAATTCTTTAAAAAAATTAAATAAAGTTAAAATAATTACTTAAAAAAATAAGTAATAGTGATAAAATAAGATCAAATAAATAATCTTAAAAAAAAAAAGTAAAGAAAAGAAAAGGAATCACACCCCCCCCCAGGGGGATGGTCACACTGCAATCCCTTCTCCCTTCTCCATTCTCCTCTTGGGATCTGAGGCACATGTGCCTGGCACATTTCTTTTTTCTTTCTTTTTGTTTTAAGTACTTTAATTTTATTCATTGTCATTATTTTAATTGTCTTTTTTGACGTTGACCAGACAAAGACAGAGAGAGAGAGAGAAGGAAAGTGAAAAAGCAAGCTGCCAGGCCTGGGACTTGAATTGTACTCAGTCATGTGGAAGTCCAGCCACCTTAACCACCACGGCACTTGCCAACCCCTGGCATAGTTTTTTATTTATTTATTTTAGTAATTTTAATTATTATTTATACATTTAATCACTATATACAATTTAGATTGTAAAGAGATTTTACCCAGCGTGATACACACCTCAGTCCAGCCCAGTTGAGGATATATGCTCGGCCTCATCAAATAATAAACCATATCCACATCCCACAAATGCCTTACTTTTTCCTCCAAATTTCCTTCCCTTTTTTCCCCAAATTTCCTTTCCTCCCCTAGTCTCTCTACTTTGGCTCTAGTGTCCATAACAATTTTTAATGCTTGTCTGTCCTCCAGCCTTTAGTCTCTGCCGTAGAGTGCTGACAGTCAGTATATGTTAAGGGGAGGAGACACACAATGTCTCTCTCTCATAGCCTGACTTGCTTCACTCAGCAACAGATTGTCCATATTCATCCACTTTCTGTCAATTCCAGGGCCTTGTTTTCTATGGCTGAATAGTATCCCATGGAGTATATGTGCCACACTTTTTCAATCCATTCATCCGTTTGTGGGCATTTGGGTTGGTTCCATGTCTTAGCAATCGTGAATAAAGCTGCAATGAATATAGATGTGCAAGCGCTTTTCCGATTGAGCATTCTCCTGTCCTTTGGGTAGATACCCAGGAGTGAAACTGCTGGATCATATGGTAGTTCTATCTGAAGATCTTTGAGGAACCTCCATATTGTTCTCCACAGTGGCTGGACCAATTTACAATTCCACCAACAGTGTACAAGTGAGTGTTCCCCTTTCACCTCATTCTCTCCGGCACTTTTCTTTTTTTTTTTTTTTTAATCTTTGTCATTCTGACTGGGGTTAGGTGGTATCTCATTTTGATCTGCATCTCCCTTATGATGAGGGATGTTGAACATTTCTTCTTATGCTTTTTGGCTATTCGTATGTCTTCCTTAGAGAGCTGTTTATTCAGCTCATTTTCTCATCTTTTAATTAGGTTAATCGTTTTTTTTCCAGGTAAGCTTGCTTGAGTTCCCTGTGTATTCTGGTTATCAGTCCCTTATCTGAGGCACAGTTAACAAAAATTTTCTCCCATTCTGAGGGTTGTTGATTCACACTAGTGACATTGTCCTTTGCTGTGCAGAAACTTCTTAATCTGGTGTAATCCCACTTGACTATTTTGGGGATTATAGCCTTTGCTTTGAGGGTCTTACTTAAGAAATCTTGGCCTACCTCAATGTCTCCCGGAGTTTCCCCAGTGTTTTCCACCAGTAGTTTTATCATTTGCAGTCTTAGGTTTAGATCTATGGTCCACTTTGAGTTGATTTTTGTTATGGTGACAGATAGGGTTCAGATTCATCTTTCTGCAGGTGGATACCTAGTTTTTCCAGCACCATTTGCTAAAGAGGCTTAACTTTTCCCATTGGATTGACTAGTACCCTTTGTCAAAGATGAGTTGGCTGTATGTTTTAGGGTTTATTTCTGGGGTCTCCACTCTGTTCCATTGGTCCTCATGTCTGTTTTTGTGCCAATACCATGCTGTTTTGATTATCACAGCTTTGTAATATATTTTAGGGTTAGGAAGTGAGATGCCCCCTAGTGCACTCTTCTTGCATAGAATGGCTTTGGCAATACAGGATCTTTTATGATTCCAGACAGATTCTTTAATTGTCTTTTCTAGATCTGTGAAGAATGCTTATTGCAATTTTATAGGGATTGCATCAAATATGTAGATTAATTTGGGAAGGATTGCCTGGCATGTTTCTTAAACCACCAAATCTGGGACTTGAACCACGTAGCCATATAGGGTCCAGCTCCTTAAATACTACACCACTGGTTGACCCAATTCATTCTTTTTTATCTTTTCTTTTTTCCAATTGCCAGAGAGAGACAGAAATAGAGAGGAGAGGGAGAAAGCACCCTCTTATGAGGTATAGTCATACCACAGTCCTTTCTCCTTCATTTTTCTACCCTGGGATTTGAGGCATATATGCACACACACCTGGTGTGTTTTTCGAGTCACCAGGGCCAGGATTTGAACCATTCAGCCATGTGGAATCTGGCAGCTTTAACCACTAGGCTACAGGGCTAGCCTGTGAAGTCCTACTTTAATTACATTTTCCACGAGCTTTGTGACATACCCTCATAATGAAGCTTGCAGGTTACATGGTCCTTGTCTCAACTACTCAGCTCCCCTGCTCTACCACAAGAACAGCCAGGGACAGTGTGCAAACAAAGTAAGTGGCTGTGCCTCAGTAAACCTTTATTTACAAAGACAGGCGGCTGGCCACAGCTTGCAGATTGCTTATATCCAGCCAAAAAGAAAGGTGTGTGCTGGTACTCTGAGCCAGGGTTCAAAAACAGCCAAGCACAGTATTCCACTACCCTCCCAACAAGTAATGCTCTCCACAGCTTCTAGGACAAGCGTGCACCCTCAGCCCCAGGTAACAGCCTACAGCTTGCTTGCTTGCTTGTTTTCTTTCTTTCTTCTTCTTTTTAAGGTTTTTGCCCTAGATGTGTGCGCTCAACAGGGGATGAGAGAGAGACCGAGAGAAGGAAATCACCCCCCAGGGGAGGGGGCAACACCGCAATCTCTTGTCCTCCACTCTCCTCACCCAGCATGACTTTTAAGCCACTGGGTCCAGGACTCAAACTGCAGTCAGCTATGTGGGAGGCCAGCACCGTAACCACTATGCCACCTGCTGGCCCAAGACAAGGGCTTTCTGGTGGCGCTCTGAGGCCAGCTCTGTCCTCGCACACAACCTATCTAGGCCCATATGCCAGGAGTGCACCTCGGGGCTGGGCTGTGGTTACTGACCTGAGAAAGTGCAGGGGGTGTGTCTTCTCTTGGGCCTGAAAGAAGACATCCACCGAAGACTTGAGTCCCTCGAGGAACACAAGCTGCCCGCGCTCCCGAGCCGCAGTCAGGCTGACACCCTAACACAACAGGAGGAGAGACCATCAGAGACCCCAGGGCTCTCGACCCAAACCCCCACTCTGTTTGCACATGTGCTTTACATTTATGGAGGGGACTCTTCAAAAAAGTCTGTGAAGATGCGTACTGTGAGAAAACTGCATTGATGGGAACCAGCAGTTAGCGTAATGGCTATGTCGCTGGACTCCCACGTAGTCAACCGCGGTTCGCATCCCGGACCCGGTGGCTTAAAACTCACGCCGGGCGCGTGTGCGTGCGTGCCCAAGATCCCGAGAGGAGAATGGAGGAGAAGGGATTGCGGCGTG